ACATATATACATATATACATATATACATATATACATATATACATATATACATATATACATATATACATATATACATATATACATATATACATATACATCTGTAGCAGAAAGCTGGGCAATGAATAGGATGTTGTTGTTATGTGCTGTTGCATTGCCTCTGACCCATAGTGACCCCATGTACAGCAGATCTGAACCCTGTCCTGTCCTGAGACGGTCTCACTAATTACAACACACCAAACCCCAATGCCCCAGTTACTATATGAATCCATCCCATCTGGGGTCTTTCTGTCCAGTGCTGTCTCTCCACCCTTCTGAGCATGATGTCCTTCTTCAAAGACCATTCTCTCCTGGCCACAGAGTATGTAAGATGGAGCTTCCAAATCCTAGCCTCCATGGAGAAACTTGGTTCATCCTCTCTGAGACAGACTTATTTGTTTTCTTGGCAGTCCATGGTATGTTCAGGACTCTTCTCCAGCACCACAATTTGAAGGCATTGATTCTTCTTCTGTTATCCTTAGTAATTGTCCAGCTCTCTGAAGCATCACAAGTAAAGACAATGGTCTGGACCAGGTTCACCTTAGTCCCTAGACTGACATCATTACTTTTCAGCACTCTGGAGAGATCTCTGACAGCAGATTTTCCCCAGTGCAATTCGTCTTTTGATTTCCTTATTGCTGGTGTTAAGAGTGTTGATTGTGGAGCCAAGCAAGCAATAATTGTTAACAACCTCAACCTCTTCTCCATCTATCATGGTGCTGCCAATTGGCCCTGAGGTGAAAATCTTTGTCTTCTTGATGTTGAGCTTCAATCCAAATTGAAGACTACTGTCCTTGATCTTCTGCGGCAAGCACTTCATGTCTTCTTCAGTTTCAGCAAGCAAGGTTGTATCATCTGCATAACGTAGGCTTTTGATGAGTCTTCTAATCCTGATGCCACATTTCTCCTCATAAGTCCTTCTTCCCAAATGATCTGTTCTGCATATAGATTGAAAAGGATTGATTGATAAAGATTTATAAGGATGATAGAAGAAGAATTGATTTCTTTTAGTTGTGGTGCTGAAGAAGAGTATTAAACATACCGTGGACTTCTAAGAGAACAAACAGGTCTGTCTTGGAGAAGGTGAAGCCAAGTTACTCCTTGAAGGTAAGGATTTTGAAGCTCCATCTCACATACTTTGGGCACGTGGCCAGGAGGGACCAGTCCTTTGATCTTGAATCATAACATGTTACTTCCCCAATAAACTCGATTGAGCATGGCCTAAAAGTTTCATGTGGCCACTTGTAATGAATCCTCCAGTCTGGCAGTGGACCAGAGAGTGCTGCTGAAGGCAGCTGCAGTCAGCCTTGGGCTGCTGTTGCTTCTCTATGCCCCTCTTGAAGTTAGAGAAGGTCAGAGACCCAGCATTATTACAATAGTTCTTCTCCAACACATATGGAGTCAGAATTCTCATGACAACTGTTTTGTTGTTTTTAATCATCTTTGAGAGATTTAATCTCACTAGTTCATGATGTGTGTGTCATTGTCAACAGGCTTTACAAAAGGGCAATACATTAAGTGTCTGTGCCATAAAGACCACTGAGACATGCATGATGAATGATAAAAGAAAACGTTGTACTTTGGGTGCTTGTGGCCAAGGATAAAATTTCCAGTGACAACATCACATCTGGATTAAAAAATTGCTGTGTTGTAAAAAACTTAGGTGGCAGAGAACACAATGTGTTTGGGGAAGCTGTTAACAAAATTAAAAAGCATCTCTACTTATGGCCAAGCTGCTGACAGCCCGGAAGCATATGACCCATTTGAATCAGATTATTTTATGCAATGTCAGAAGATAATAAAGCAGTGTTCTCAGTGCCTTCACTATACACTTCTTCCTGCATTACTGCCAGTTCTCAATCACATGCTACCTCCTGGAGTAGCTGGACCTCAAACAATGCTTTTTGGTAAAGTGATTCTTGTG